CCTCAATGGGGACAGGAGCCCCTCAACCCAGCCCAGGAGCCGCCGCTCACCTTGGAGCCACCGCACCTGGGTGGCGGGGCCGTAGCCCTTGTCGTTGCGCGCGGCGATGCGGAAGATGATGGCCGCCTTGGTGGTGTGGTCGATGTGGGCGCTCGCCAGGCTGCCCGAGGCCACCAGGCACGAGGGGCTGGGCCCGCAGTAGACCCGCATGAAGGCCAGCTGGGCCGGGGCGCCCTTGGGGTCCCCCGTGGCGGTGGTGGGGCCACCGCTTTGGATGGCCAGGTAGACCGAGTACTCCACGATGCGGCCCGAGGTGACCGAGGGCGGTTCCCAGGTCAGGTGGGCGCCGTCGGGGCTCTGCGGGGCACGGGGAGAAAGGGGGGACGTGGGTATGGGGGGACGTCGGGGGGGACACGGGTGGACATGTCAAGCAGGCCATGGGGATGAGGGACATGATGGTGTCAAGTGGAGGACGTGGATGAGGGACGTGTTGGTGTCAACTGGAGAATGTGGATGAGGGACATGGTGGTGTCAACCAGAGAACATGGATGAGGGACATGTTGGTGTCAACCTCCATGGAGAACGTGGATGAGGAACATGTTGGCGTCAACCACCATGGAGAACGTGGATGAGGGACATGTTGGTGTCAACTGGAGGATGTGGATGAGGGACATGGTGTCAACCTCCATGGAGGACGTGGATGAGGGACATGATGGTGTCAACCAGAGCATGTGGATGAGGGACATGGTGGTGTCAACTGGAGGATGTGGATGAGGGACATGGCATCAACCTCCATGGAGAACGTGGATGAAGAACATGATGGTGTCAACCAGCCCATGTGGATGAGGGACATATTGGTGTCAACCGGAGAACATGGATGAGGGACATGATGGTGTCAACCAGACCATGTGGATGAGGGACATGATGGTGTCAACCACCATGGAGAACGTGGATGAAGAACATGATGGTGTCAACCAGAGCATGTGGATGAGGGACATGTTGGTGTCAAGTGGAGGACGTGGATGAGGGACATGGCATCAACCTCCATGGAGAACGTGGATGAGGGACATGTTGGTGTCAACTGGAGGACACCAATGAGGGACATGGTGTCAACCACCATGGAGAACGTGGATGAGGGACATGATGGTGTCAAGTGGAGGACGTGGATGAGGGACGTGTTGGCGTCAACCACCATGGAGAACGTGGATGAGGGACATGATGGTGTCAACTGGAGAATGTGGATGAGGGACATGGTGTCAACCTCCATGGAGAACGTGGATGAGGGACATGATGGTGTCAACTGGAGGACACCAATGAGGGACATGTTGGTGTCAACCAGCCCATGTGGATGAGGGACATGATGGTGTCAACTGGAGGACACCAATGAGGGACGTGGTGTCAACCACCATGGAGAACGTGGATGAGGAACATGTTGGTGTCAACCTCCATGGAGAACATGGATGAGGGACATGTTGGTGTCAACTGGAGAATGTGGATGAGGGACATGGTGTCAACCTCCATGGAGGACGTGGATGAGGGACATGTTGGTGTCAACCAGAGCATGTGGATGAGGGACATGATGGTGTCAAGTGGAGGACACCAACGAGGGACATGGCGTCAACCTCCATGGAGAACGTGGATGAGGAACATGTTGGTGTCAACCACCATGGAGAACATGGATGAGGGACATGTTGGTGTCAACTGGAGGACGTGGATGAGGGACATGATGGTGTCAACCAGACCATGTGGATGAGGGACATGGTGGTGTCAACTGGAGGATGTGGATGAGGGACACGTTGGTGTCAACCACCATGGAGAACGTGGATGAGGGACATGATGGTGTCAACCAGATCATGTGGATGAGGGACATGTTGGTGTCAACCAGAGAACATGGATGAGGGACATGTTGGTGTCAAGCAGGCCATGTGGATGAGGGACGTGTTGGTGTCAAGTGGAGGACGTGGATGAGGGACATGTTGGTGTCAACCACCATGGAGAACATGGATGAGGGACATGATGGTGTCAACTGGAGAATGTGGATGAGGGACATGGTGTCAACCGCCATGGAGGACGTGGATGAGGAACATGTTGGTGTCAGCTGGAGGACACCAATGAGGGACATGATGGTGTCAACCACCATGGAGAACGTGGATGAGGGACATGATGGTGTCAACCAGAGCATGTGGATGAGGGACATGTTGGTGTCAACTGGAGAACGTGGATGAGGGACATGATGGTGTCAACTAGACCATGTGGATGAGGGACATGTTGGTGTCAACTGGAGGACGTGGGTGAGGGACATGTTGTCAACCACCATGGAGAACATGGATGAGGAACATGTTGGTGTCAACCACCATGGAGAACATAGATGAGGGACATGATGGTGTCAACTGGAGAATGTGGATGAGGGACATGATGGTGTCAACCAGAGCATGGGGATGAGGGACATGTTGGTGTCAACTGGAGAACATGGATGAGGGACATGATGGTGTCAACCAGAGCATGGGGATGAGGGACGTGTTGGTGTCAACTGGAGAACATGGATGAGGGACATGATGGTGTCAACCAGACCATGTGGATGAGGGACGTGTTGGTGTCAACCACCATGGAGAACGTGGATGAGGGACATGATGGTGTCAACTGGAGGACACCAATGAGGGACATGGTGTCAACCACCATGGAGGACATGGATGAGGGACATGTTGGTGTCAACCAGACCATGTGGGTGAGGGACATGATGGTGTCAAGTGGAGGACGCGGATGAGGGACGTGTTGGCGTCAACCACCATGGAGAACATGGATGAGGGACATGATGGTGTCAACTGGAGGATGTGGATGAGGGACATGATGGTGTCAACCAGACCATGTGGATGAGGGACATGATGGTGTCAAGTGGAGGACACCAACGAGGGACATGGCGTCAACCTCCATGGAGAACATGGATGAGGGACATGTTGGTGTCAACCAGAGGACGTGGATGAGGGACATGTTGGTGTCAACAGGAGGACACCAATGAGGGACATGTTGGTGTCAACCAGCCCATGTGGATGAGGGACATGATGGCGTCAACCTCCATGGAGAACATGGATGAGGGACACGTTGGTGTCAACCGGAGGCCACCACCGAGGGACGTGGTGGCACCAACTCGGCGACAGGTCCCACCTCGGCCAGGACCCCGGGCCACCTCCGGGGCGGCCCCACGGCGGCCACCCCCGCCGTGCCGTGGGGCGGGACCCACCTTGCTGATCTTGATGGCGCACGGCGCTCCGGGGAAGCCGGGCAGGCAGGTCTTGAAGGCGGAGATGTCGGAGAAGGCGCCGCGGCCGCACGCGTTGAGCGCCGCCACCCGGAACTTGTAGGCCGTGCCGGGCTGGAGCTCCTGGCGCTTGAGCTGCGAGTGGTCGGGCACCGCGGCCGAGTCCTCCTGCGGGGACAGCACGAGGCCATGGCAGGAGAGCAGGAGGTCCCTCTTGATGCTATGGGCTCCCCGAGGCCGTGAGGTTCTCGCAGGTGCCACCCAGGCCATGGTGGCCCCCCATGGTGGTCCCCCAAGGTCATGGGGGATCCTTGAGGGGACACTTGGGCCATGGGTGATAGCCACGGGGGACATGGGGGTGGTAGGAGGTGGCCACAGGGACGTTGAGAAGGTCATCAGGGAAAGCGGGGGGAGAGGAGAGGGCCGTGAAGGACATGAGGAGAACGGGAGGTGCCCATAAGGGTCATCAGGGTGCCCACAGGGCTCATCAGGGTGTCCATGGGGGTCATCAGGGTGTCCATGGGGGTCATTAGGGTGCCCATAGTGTCGTCAAGATGCCCACACGGGTCGTCAAGATGCCCATAGGGACCATGGAGACACCCATAGGGACCACCAGGACGCCAGGAGATGCCCATAGGGACCATGGAGACGCCCATAGGGACCACCAGAATGCCCATAGGGACCACCAGGATGCCAGGAGATACCCATGGGGACCATGGAGATGCCCATAGGGACCACCAGGACGCCAGGAGATGCCCATAGGGACCACCAGGATGCCCATAGGGACCACCAGGACGCCAGGAGGTGCCCATAGGGACCATGGAGATGCCCATAGGGACCACCAGGATGCCAGGAGGTGCCCATAGGACCACGGAGACACCCATAGGGACCATCAGGATGCCCATAGGGACCATGGAGATGCCCATAGGGACCACCAGGATGCCAGGAGATACCCATGGGGACCATGGAGATGCCCATAGGGACCACCAGGATGCCAGGAGATGCCCATGGGGACCATGGAGACGCCCATAAGGACCATGGAGATGCCCATAGGGACCACCAGGACGCCAGGAGGTGCCCATAGGGACCATGGAGATGCCCATAGGGACCACCAGGACGCCAGGAGGTGCCCATAGGGACCATGGAGATGCCCATAGGGACCACCAGGATGCCAGGAGATGCCCATAGGGACCATGGAGATGCCCATAGGGACCACCAGGATGCCAGGAGATACCCATGGGGACCATGGAGACGCCCATAGGAACCATGGAGATGCCCATAGGGACCACCAGGATGCCAGGAGATACCCATAGGGACCA